CAGTCTCTGAGTTAGAGGCCAGCCTGGTCTACATAGTGAATTCCAGGACAGCCAGGGTTAGGTAGAGAGACCCTGTCTCAAAAAACCGAGAGAGAAAAAAACCACAGTTAAAGAACAGGGGGTCAAGTGTCAATGGTAGTAGTGGCTGCCTTTAATCCCAGCACTTGGGAGACAGGCAGGCAGATAAAAGATCTCTGGAAGTCTGGTCTACAGAGTGAGTTCTAAGATAGTCAGAAATACAAAAGAAGCTTCTCTTGAAAAAACAAACAACAACAAACAAACAACAAAAACCAGGGGTGAGTTCTCACATTTTGGTTTTTAGTAAAATATACTACCTATTCAAAATGAGCTACGTGAGGTGAGGGAGTCAGAAGGCAGCAGGGTTTAATGCTTCAACACTTGTGCCTGTTCGTATTTTATGAGTAAATAAAATAGCAGCACAGTTAATATAATCTACAAATACCATTTCATTTTTATTAGCTCTAGGAATTCACTGATTTTTAGGAACCAATGAATTAAAAAAATTTTGAAATAAAAATTATCAACCAATGCCAGTAACCAAACTAAACTAACAATATTCACTGTGCTGGATCAGAGGTATAATTTGTCCCAGTGGCTTTTTAAGCCAAGCAATGTAGGATGGGTTTCTATCATTTTGAGTTTTTTGTTTGTTTGTTTGTTTGTTTGTTAAGGTAGGTTCTCACTAGGTAGTGCAGGTTTGCCTGGAATTTATTATATAGCACAGTTTAGCTTAAACTTCTGTCCCTCCTGCCTCAACCTCCAAGTGCCAGGATTACAGGCATGTGCCACCATGCTTGCAGCTTCTCTATTTCTAAAGTGCTGTAAAAACAAAACAAAATAGAGAAAAGTATACCAAACCTATATGATCCATAAAGCCTAAATTACCTATCTGACCTTCCTATGGAAAATGTACCCAATCCCTGCGCCAGAACATACTAAAACAACACAAATATTAACAGGCTCATTATGAGGTTTCCAACATAGACGAGTAAAAAAATTAACCATTCACTTTTTCAGGTAAATGAATGGTTTAAGTCATTTTGATCATGATTTTAAAATTATGAATAATAGGATTAAAGTGATAGCCCAGCTGTTAAGAACACTGAATGCTCTTACAGAGGATCCAAGTTCAATTCCAGCATCCACATGGCAGCTCACAACTGTCTGTAACTCCAAGATCTGACACCCTCAAACAGACATACATGCAGGTAAAACACCAAGGCACAAAAATAAAAAAAGTAAAAAAAAAATATATATATATATATATGTATATATATATATATATATATGAATAACAATTTAAGAATAAAAACAAAATATAAGTAAACTTACTGTTAGATTCTGTCTTAAGATATTTGATTGCAACATATCTTGCCAAATGATACATCACATGTATAAACTTAGGACCACCAGGAGAAAGAAACAGTGAGCCGACAACTTGAGGAAAACTACTTCCACATTCAGCCTAAGAGAAAAGACAGGTCATTCAACCAAGTATCTGTCACATTTTTAACCACTTATTTCATTACTTTATTTGTATGGGTGCTTGCATGCATGCCTGTGTACGAGATGCATGCACTGATAGCTACGGCCAGAAGAGGACATCAGATCCCCTAAAACTGGAGTTTACTAGACCTGGAGCTTCTGATCTGCTCTGTATGTGGGTGCTGGGCATCAAACCTGGGTCCTCTGGAAGAGTAGCCAGTGCCCTAAACCACTGAGCCATCTCTCCAGCCCCATCCCTTTATCTGTTAAAAGGTGTGTGATAATCCTGCAGTAGAGACCACACATGAATTCCTCTCTGTAGGGCAGTAGACTCTCAATATGCCCCCTTCATAGCAGTGGCTTGGAAAGATCAGATTTGCATAGAGGAAAGGAAAATAGTCAGAGAACACAAAGCTGAGTAGAGTGGTACATACTTATAATTCCGGTGCTCGGGAGAGAACTAAAGCCATTACGGGTGGTAAATGGTAGCACAGGCTTTTAAGCTGAGCACTCTCAGGCAGAGGCAGGTAGAAAGATCTCTCCGAACTCAAGACTAGTTTCATCTACATATTAGTCTCAGGCCAGCAAGAGCTACATAGTAAAACCCATCTTTGGGGTTTTTTTTTTTGGTTTTTCTGGGTTGTTTTTTCTTTTTGTTTTTTTTGTTTGTTTGTTTGTTTGTTTGTTTTAAGATTTCACTTTAGGGCCTAGAGAGATAGCTCAGTAGACAAAGTACTTATCACATAAGCATGAGGACCAGAGTTAAAATTCTCAGAATCCAAAAAGAAGCCAGACAAACACAGCAGCTGCCTATAGACCAGAACTCTGGAGGCAGAAACAAGATTTCTGGTGGCAATCTGGCTAGCTAAACAAGCAGTAACAGACAAGCTCCAACTTCTGAAGAACCAGCCTTGGATAGGTATTAGTGGCCCACATCATTAATGCAGCACTCAGGAGGCAGAGGCAGGCAGATCTTGAGTTTGAAGCCAGCCTGGTCTACAGAGCCAGTTCCAGGATAGCCAGAGCTATTAAAGGGAAACTGCCACACACACACACACACACACACACACACACACACACACACACACAC